CCGGATACGTCGACAAGTTTTGATGATCGCCGCCGTCGCGCGTTTGGATGACGTTATTCAATGGCCTGTTCGAGCCAACTTTTCACCTTGTACGAGTCTTTGGCTTGAACGCAACAACCGCGTGTTCCGCACGACATTGACGCCCTTCCCCTGTTGCACTCGCGATCAACGCCGCTACTATCACGCGATTGCATATCCAGCCACTTGGCTCGCCGCGCCGTGGTGCCTTCGCTTGCCGAGTCGCTCCATGCCCTACGCGCCGACCCTTGGTGTGCTTGCTGCCTAATTTCCAACTCAATCCCGAGCCCCGACCATCGCCCTCAGCTTGACGTACCGGCCAAACCTCACGAGCGCAGCAGGAGGTCCACCATATTCATTATATAATTGCATGTTATCAAATCATTTCAACGACGGCGAACACTCCTCGCTTGACGCACCAGCCTCCCTCACAAGCATTTGAGAAAAATCACCATCATTACCGGGGGGTATAATGACACGGTGATAACTCATTTCAACAACTGTCGGCAACTGTCAAACGGGCGAGGAATGCTCGATAGAGGACGGTCACTGAAACGTTTCGAATGCATGGTGTTGAAGCCCGGTGACGCCATTCGTTGAAAAATGGTGGCCACTGGCCACTTCACCTGGCGTCGTCGAAGGAGCTAGGGTGTACCGTGCATGTGCGCCTCCTGCCATCGAGCACGATCTCATCGATCTCGCCTGGAGCCAGTGGTTAGTGCCAATACGATGTATCCACCAGTATGCGAGGACGAGGCTTGACGCGCTAGTAGTCTGCCAATAGCCAATCAAGAGCAAAATCGATTGTAATTCGCTACCTCTTGCCCAATGGGCACGCCGTATTGCGCGAAAGATACCGATCCGTTGAACGTAAAGTCAATGTTTGCTCAGCGAAGATAAGGATACACGGCCAGAACGACTGATCAAATTCTTCGACCACCAGCCATATTGAGCCGCCGCGACACTCACTTTCAAATGTGCCTCGATCTGCAGCTCGTGCCCCAACTTGCTGCTCGCATGGCGTCGCAGCCCGACTTCCACGCGGTCGCCACGCCCAAGCCCAACGAGGCGCTGCACCTCCAGCATGATGTCAATGAGGTCGAGACACCGTCCAAGCTCGCTCTCGTGGCGCACTGGACCGCGGGTGCGCTCTTGGCCTTCTCGGCCTTCTCCGTTACCGTGATCTTTACGCCGATGGTTGTGCCCATCACGACGGACTTCTTGAACCCGCTGTGGGACGTCGACCCCAAGGTCAAAAACTCGGGTCGTCCCGAGATGGTCAACGACTCGTACTTCTTCTTTGGCGTGATCCTCCCGGTCGTTGTGGCCTTCTTGCTCGTGCGTCTCGTGAGCAAGGGCGCGTCGTTCCCGGTTCCGGGCCTCTCGCACCTGCTCAAGCGCAAGCCGCGCATCTTCGGGTCGCTCGTGAGCTACGGCGAGATCCTCTTCTTGCTCGTTGTCGCTGTCGGCAACATCATCTTTTTCTACTACTACTACAGCACACGCGTCAAGGCCGGCAGCAAGACCCAGGAGAAGATCAAGCTCGCGGCCAAAGCGCTCGGATATTCGGCCATGTACAACATGGTGTTCCTCGCGCTGCCCGCGTCGCGCCACTGCTTTTGGATGGAGTGGCTGGGCATTCCGTTTGCGCACGCCGTCAAGTACCACCGCTGGCTCGGTGTCGCGACCATCCTCTGCGCGACGGTGCACGTGGCCTTCTACATCCAAGTGTATGTGGCCGCCAACGACGCGATGACGCTGCTGCCGTGCTTTGGCTGCGACGTGGCCAAGGAAGGCAAGATGAACTGGATCATCACCTTTGGCTGGATCGCGTTCTGGTGTATGGTCGTCATGGGCCTCACGTCGCTCCCGTACGTGCGCCGTCACTACTACAAGGTGTTCTACTACACGCACTTTCTCTTCATTCCTGCCACGGCCTTTGCGATCATGCACTACGCCAACATTGCCATCTACCTCTTCGCCACGATCGTGCTCTACATTGGCAACCGCATGATGTCGTCGGCCACGATTCAGGCGCCGGTCGTTGTCCAGAAGGCGGCCGCGCACCCGCACGACGTGACCGAGCTGACGTTCGAGTGCGCGACGTCGTACCACGCTGGCGACATCGTCTACCTCAAGGTGCCGTCGGTCTCCAAGACACAGTGGCACCCGTTCAGCGTCGCGTCAACGCCGCTGCACACACCCGGCTCGCTCACGGTGTACATCAAGTCGCGCGGTCAGTGGTCCGGTCAGGTGCACGAGTACATTCGTCAGTGCACGGCTTCCGGTATCGACCCCGTCGTGTACATGGATGGCGGGTACGTCTCGCCGGCGCCCGTCTCGGCATCGTACGAAAAGGTGGTCTTCATCGGCGGCGGCATCGGCGTCACCCCACTGCTCGGCCAGATCATGCACACGCTGCACGCGCAGTCGTGGCAGGACGTCCATTTGGTCTGGCACGTGCGCGATGCGCGCATGATGGCGCAGTTCCAGCAGTGGTTCCACGAAGCCACGAGTCTCTCGTCGCACTTGCACTTGCATCTGTTTGTGACTGCGACGTCGCCTGCGTCTGAGATTGCGAGCCGCAACCATGTGTTTGACCTCAAGAGCTCGACTGTGGCGCCGCGACCGTACGCCAACGTGTCGACGCTGCGCCAAGTGCTCTTGTTTGTCGCTGCGTTCTTTGGCGCTGGCTCGCTCTTTGTCGCGGTGCACTACAACACCAAGATCACGACCGCCGACCCGTCGTACTGGCCGCTGCAGCGCTTGGTGGAGTTTCTCGCGATCGTCATTGGCGCCTACTGGGCCTACGTCGTTGTCTTGGTCAAGCCGTACACGCCGATGCCGGTCGCGCGGTCGCAGGTCGACGAGTATCCCAAGGAGCCGACCATGTCGACTGACGCATTCGTCGAGCGCTACAACGTGCAGCAGGGTCGCATGGACTGGTCGCGCTTCTTTGCGGGTCTCGCGGACACCACGGCAGCGAGTGCGTCGATCGGCGTGTTTGTCTCGGGTCCCAAGACGCTCTTGCGCGCGATCGAAGCCGAGACGCACGCGTCGCGCTTTGACCTGCACCACGAAGAGTTTGAATTGTAGG